TAGAATTATGTCAGATCTTGTCTATTTTTTCTTTCTCAAGCTTAGGCTAACACCGTGTTCCCATATTAAGACCAGTGGGCCTAATGGAGAAATTGAATCCTGCTATTAAGGCTTAGTGCAACCAAAATAACAAATGTTGGCGAGGATGTGGAGAAAAGGGAACCTTCATGCTCTGTTGGTGGGAATGCAAGTTGGCGTGGTCACTCTGGAAAACAGTATGGAGGTTCCTCAAAAAATTAAAAATAGAATTACCATACAATCTAGCAATTCCACTTCTAGGTATTAATCTGAAGAAAACAAAAAGTAATTTGAAAAGACATATGTATCCTTATGTTTACTGCAACGTTGTTTGCAAAAGCCAAGACAAGATATGGAAGCAGCCCAAGTGTCTATGGAGAGATGAATGGTTAAGAAGATGTGGTATATATATATATATAATGGAACGTTACTCAGCCATGAAAAAAGAATGAAATCTTGCCATTTACAATAGCATGGATAGACCTAATGGGTATTGTACAAGTGAAATAAGTCAGGCAGAGAAAAACAAATACTATTCGATTTCACTTCTATAAATCTAAAGGATGGAGTAGATTTAGAGGATGGACAAGATAGGTGAAGGGAATTATACGGTGCAATCTTCTAGTTAGAAAATAAATAAGACATGAGATATAAGGAACTGCATAGGGAATACAGTTAATAATATTGTGATCACTCTATATGGTGACAGATGATAACTAGATTTATTATGGTAACCATTTTATAATGTAAATGAGTATCAAATCATTATGTGGTATGCCTGAAACTGATACAATAGTGTATGTCAATTATTCTTCAATTAAAAAAAAAAAGACTATTGCAGCTATTTGGACAATGAAACATTAAAGTCTGGATTTCAGGCGGTCTGGGTAGCTCAGCGGTTTAGCGCCACCTTCGGCCCAGGGCATGATCCTGGAGACCCGGGATCAAGTTCCACATTGGGCTCCCTGCATGGAGCCTGCTTCTCCCTCTGCCTGTGTCTCTACCTCTCTTTCTCTGTTTCTCATGAATAAATAATAAATAAATAAAATCTTAAAAAAAATAAAGTCTGCATTTCACACTTTTTATAACCTATAAAAGTAACTTCACCCCTTTGCCCCCATTCTCCTCTCCTTACCTTTACTCCTGATCTGACTATTCTCTAGATGTGTAAAAGTACTGTAATTAGGGGCATGGGTCAGATACATCCCACTCCCTGTTTTATTTTCCTTTGCTTAGAAAACCAGATATTTTCAGAAAGGTAAAATAAATAGGGCTGGTTCCAACCTCATTGTGAAATAGTTTGTTCATGATGAGCCTCTTCCCCTTGCATACACTATTTTTCTTTGTGGCTACTCTTCCCCTAACTGTGAGACTTCCTTGGTTTATTGCCAGCCTTCTGTCCCTCCCTCTCCACAGCATCCCTCTTCTTCATTCAGCTTTCTCTGTTCTGTTGTTCTTGTCCATGACCCACAGTCAGTCTGTTCGTGGCCTCCATGCTGCTCATTGTCACTATAACTGAAACATCCCTGTTCTACAGCTCCTCATCCAAGGCTAACTTTGCGCTTTTAGGAGGCAATTTTACTTGGCACACTTATAATTGATCTGTAAGTATTTAAATAAATGGATAAGAATATGAATCAATAAACTGCTCCCTCATGGTACATCACTTAGCACCCATCCTGCGCCCACCCACCCAGGGTAAACGTGTTTTACCAGGGGCCTGAAGAAAACATCACGCCTTCCTTTGTGGCAGGATCAAATGAGGTGAGTCAGGAGAGGAGCCCCGGGACAGATGGCTGTTGGAGTATTAGGTTAACCATGTGTTTCTGATGCCTTAACAACATCTGGGGCTTACTGACCCTAGAGAAATGGCTCTTCCTAAGGCTGGCCAGCTCCAATCAAGCCAGGGCCCATAGCCCAAAAACCTTCTTTAGCTAAGTTATCACTGGGCTCTCACATTCTGATCCACTAACCACCTGCTCTAATCACTCCAGGGCCAGGTTCCAGACAACTAAGGACAGCTCCTATACTCCAGAGCCTGCTGAAATTGTTCAAAGTAGCCAATCTAAGCAGGCTAACCTGGTCTTGTCCGCTCTTTCAGGTAGAAAGCACAATAAATTTACATTTTTGTGTATATTTTGTTTATATTTTCCCCTTGCTCCTTCTGCCTCCTGACCAATCTTGGTGCTTCCCCATGGTACGACATGTTCCCTCCTCTTAAAAACTGTAACAAACTATCTTATCAATGTCTGTCTCCTCCTGATCTGTTGGCTTCACCAATGTCTGAGGGATAATAAAACCCACATGTTAAAATAGTTATTTCCAATTATTTCTCTAATCCCAAGTATGAGGCCTCCCATGCTGATTCTTTTACTTCTGAGGGAGGCCTCTCTTTTTCTAAACGTTCTGACAATTTGGAGAAATAACTATTACCTGGAGAAGGCAGTGTAGTATTAAGTTAAAAAAATAAAAGTAATGACAGGCTTTACTTCATATGTATTATCAACCTAGGATCTCAAAAGTCCTGTGAATTATTTTATTATGCTAAATGAACTGAAATTTAAAGAGTGTTTCCCAAGGTCCCAGAGCCACATACACAAAGAGATGAGACGCAAACACAAATTTTCCTGGCGCTTCTCTGAATCATGCTCTGTTTCTACTAATTCTATCAAAGTCTTCCAAATCCTCCGATATCTTTTACAAAGTTTGTTGTGTAACATCACCACTTCCTTCATACTTTAAAAGTATGGCAATTTCTTCATACTTTAAAGAGTGAGTCCATAATGAAAAGTAGCTAAGATTTATCTAGATTCTTCAACAACAACATGGCCTTGGAGAAATGAATGTAGAGTCTTAGGAATATATTACCCAAAGATAGAGAAGATCTAGAAATTAAAGAACTTTACAATACTAAGTCTGATATCTAGTGAATGACTGAGAAACTTTAGAAATCTCTTCTTTCTGAAAGAGTTCCATTCTTTGGTCATGAGTCATCAGAGCGACAAAGAACAGATTGGCTGTGAAGAAGACAGGCAAAAATATCTTGCAGTTTTGGGGAACCAGAAATTGAAGGAAAACTCAATTCAATAGTAGAGATGAAAATAAGCATAAAAAGGCAATATATAATAAAATTGCTACCAAATGTCATCAAGCAGCAAAATGCACAATAAAGATGTGGTCAGTGTCGACCGCAGTTATTGGAGGAAACACTTCAAGTGAAATATTTGACAAGTTAACCCAACATGGAACAAAATATATCTCATGGGAATTTATCTTTTAACGTTTACCAAATTTGTTCAGTGGTTTGGAATTCTCTATTTTAAGAAAAAAAAAAGAGGGAAACTTGAGAAAGAGGAAAGAGAGAAAGACAATAAAGCTATTCAAGTGACCTGGAGATAAAACACATTGACTGAAGAATTGGACTGTAGGTATGGAGAAAAGAAGACTGGATAAGGAGGTTAAGAGCAACCAGCAAGAATTGGAGGTGCCACTTGGAGATGGTGATTGGCAGCTGTTAAGAATTTCCATGGACTGTAGGTAAGAAGAAACGAGTTTGTGTGGCCAGAGGACCTCAGCTGGATATCAGGAAGAATTTCCTGACTGGAAATGTCAAGAGTTCTGGTTTACAGGATCAAAGGGAGGCTTCTGGGATGTGCCTACCCTAGGAATATTTTTTAGCCTCAAGCAAGAGACTGGGTGGTTTCCTGCAGCCCCTAGGATGGACTGGATGGCCTCCTCACAATCCATCAGTCTCATGTTGCTGAGAGGCGTGCCATTCACACTGCTGCTTTCCTAGTGTCCTTGCCAGCTGCCCACTCCCAGCTCAGAGGCTGTGGAGTGTTCCCCACAGAGAGAAACAACTAAGTCTTTCACTCCCTGTTCCTCACTTGGGCCAGTCCTTGAGGTGTACACTGTGGTTTTTCAGCTCTTCAGCACTTAGGCCCTTTCCTTCTGAGCCAAGGGCCTCCTGGGAACAATGTAGCATCTGTGTGTTGACAGTAACAGTCTAGGGGCCAGAGACACTTTACCAAACTCCCTCTGTTTCACATAAACTGGATTGCATACCCCGCCTACAGTAATCTGCACCTGTTAGCCCACGTGCCCAGCACCAGGTGGACCCCTCCTTACCTATTCCCCAACCTTTTACCTAATTTGATTCCTAGCTTTTTTTTGTCACATTTATGCCGATCCTCATGCAGGATGGTCTCTACCACCTCCCATCCCACCCATAGAGTTAACAATAACACATTAGTGGCTCGTGGCCTGACACTAAGCAGTGGGCACCGAAGGGTGAGGTACCTACTGCTTATTTGGGCATCTGGGTATTTATAAAAGGTTTGGCCTGCAAAGAGATGCCAGCCTTTTCCTATAACATTATTGCTTTGTATTTATTGTGTGGTTGTTGATTTACATAGGAGTTAGGAACGCAAAACAAGCATAGTTTTTACATAGTCTGTTTCTGCTGACTTTAGAGACTTGGAAACATCATTTGATGGCAAAAAGACAATTCCAGAAAGGTGTCTCAAACCTTCCCTTTATTCCTGACTGTGTTAGAGAGGGACACGTGCTTGTGAAGAAAGTAGAGTTTCAACTCTTCAGGACTAGAAAAGAGCAGAAATTATGTTGCATGGGAGTCCTGTGGAATGTACAGATTCAATAGGAAATGACAAATCAAAACAACCTCTCTCCCTTCAAAGAGATCACAGAATTTCTCTTTAAGGCTCCACTGAGCGGCGTGTATTGCAGTGTATGGGGCTACGCAGTATGACTGTATAGAAGATTGGATGGGTAGTAAGAGTGTAGACCATTTAAAAGAAAGGATAAGGAGAGTAAATGAGATTTTAAGGAACAAAGTGGAGAGCTGTGTGTGTGTGTGTGTGTGTGTGTGTGTGTGTGTATAAGGCCTGGCGATCCTGTTTACTGTCTCTGAGATTTCAGTTGCCTTTTTTACATTTCATGTAAATACTTAGTAGTATGTAGAAGTATCAGGAGAAATCAGAGTTCAACCTTTGGAGTTTTTTCTTCCGATTCATGGTTTTCTTTCTGAAAAACATCATGACACTGTTACTTAGATTTGGAACCCACTCTTGGTTTTGAGCTCTGAGATTAGCAAACAGCTATTTAATTACTCCTGGAAGTCCTAAACCCATTCTTAATTTTTATTTCATGAACTCTTATATATAGGAATTTGGTTTGTTTCCCATTAATAATGTAAACAGAATGGTAAAATCCCAAATTCAGTTCCTTTGAATATGCAAGACATTTCCAAAGTTGCCCGTGTAGTTCTATTCTCACGACTCTATCCTAAGAAGCATTCTTTTTTTTTTAATAATAAATTTATTTTTATAGAAAGCCACCTTCCAATGGGGAGGCGTTGCTAGGCTTTATCATTGAAATCAATCTAAACATTTCTAATATTGTTAAGAGACACACATTATTATTTGATGGCCATTTTAACAATAGTATCATACTTTTAAAATTCATTCTATTTTTTTTATTGGAGTTCAATTTGCCAACATATAGCATAACACCCAGTGCTCATCCCGTCAAGTGCTCCCTCAGTGCCCGTCACCCATTCACCCCCACCCCCCGCCCTCCTCCCCTTCCACCACCCCTAGTTCGTTTCCCAGAGTTAGGAGTCTTCCATGTTCTGTCTCCCTTTCTGATATTTCCTACCCATTTCTTCTCCCTTCCCTTCTATTCCCTTTCACTATTATTTATAGTCCCCAAATGAATGAGACCATATAATGTTTGTCCTTCCGATTGACTTATTTCACTCAGCATAATACCCTCCAGTTCCATCCATGTCGAAGCAAATGGTGGGTATTTGTCATTACCTAAGAAGCATTCTGATCCTCTCTACCATACCCTTGTGAACTTTTGTTCTTAATCAAATCCAGGAGAGCTGAAAGAATTTTTATTCAACAGGACATAGAGAGGAAAACTCAACTTGTTATACTGGAGGCTCCTACTTACCAGCCGTTTCCCTTTTAGGAATCCATCACAAAAGTTTTGCACATGCTCCACAGAAACTTCTGCCATGGGCAGTGTATCCCACTCTTCATCCACAGTACGGTAAATTGCCAAAGCAGGCAGTTGAGACTTTTTTAGTTTGAAAAATGAGATCACCTTCCCATTTGCCTCCACGCCACTGTCCACCAGAACAAAAAGAATCTGCAGTTGGAGAGGTTTGAAAGGGAAAAAAAAATCTATCTGAGGTCCAGAGGAGAAAGAGACGTCTCATAATTGTTGCAGTTTACACTAATTAACTTGTGGTCTGTGCCATATAATATAATGAATTTCTTATTTTTCTCTGCTTTGGTATTTTATCCCTTTTCATCAGATTTAAGATTAAGAACACAGAATTAGAAATAACTTTAGTGATTAGTTAAATAAACAAGTATGGCCTAATGGTTAAAAGCAGATAGTACATTCTACATTTTGTTTCTGGTACTTTCTAGCTGTGTGACTTTGGCACATTACTCAGCCTCTCTGAGGCTCAATATTCTCATTGGCAAAATAGGCTTTTGCCCGGAAAGATTAAATGAGCGGATCCATTTAATATGTCCAGTACAGTTTTTGGCATATGGTAAATGCTTGATAAATGTCGATTATTTTATATTATTAAATCAAACCTTCTACTCAAAGTAGAAACCTTTATAATGTTCTTGTTAGGGGATCATTTAGATTCAGAAATTTTGAAAACATCCAGTGTTAAGGAAATAGCCGCCCGAAAGCTGGCTTATGTTATTACCAGACAATTTCAACATCGAAAAGGTCTAGTTTAATGCAGTAGCGTTGAAGTGGTTGGAGTTTTATTATTTCAGTGATACCAAACAGAGCTGCATGAAGTAGAGAAGGGACAGGACTAAATATTTATTGGACATCTAGTAGGCACCAGGTATGTGAGAGTTACTTTATATAAGAAGTAAGTCCTGAGTCTAAAATTCTAAGAGGTTATGGCAAGGACTAATTAAATTGTGACTAATAGGGGATTTTTATTTTCAACATCTTTGGATCTCTATTTTTCTCTCCACTTCTTAATGTAGACAAAAAATGAAATAGACTTCCAGCCAAGGGAAGATATGGTTATACAGGACTTTAATAGTATAAAATACAGCATCTTTAATTTTAAATCAGAGTAATGTGATTTATTAGGTCCTAGTTCTTACTTTGTTATCTCTTAACCTTTTTTTTTCAGATCTTATTTCTTATTTTTTATTTATTTATGTTTTCAAGAATGTTTTTGTAATAATAAATTTATTTTTTATTGGTGTTCAATTTGCCAACATACAGAATAACACCCAGTGCTCATCCCGTCAAGTGTCCCCCTCAGTGCCCGTCACCCATTCACCCCCACCCCCCACCCTCCTCCCCTTCCACCCCTAGTTCGTTTCCCAGACTTAGGAGTCTTCATGTTCTGTCTCCCTTTCTGATATTTCCTACCCTTCCCTTGTATTCCCTTTTGTTATCTCTTAACCTTACTCATTTTCCTTATTTACCTAATCTCCCTGGATCTATCTGCCTGTTTTTAGTGACCTGCTACTGAGTATTCAAAAGAGTATCTCCCATTTCAGACTTACTTTCCCCTGGAAGAGCTTGGCTGCCTTCTGGTATCTGGACATGCTTTCTTCATACTCTGGAGAGGCCTTGTTCATCATCAGTAGAAGATGAATCTGGATCATGCTATTAAATAGGCCAATCACAGTCTGGCAAATTGAAGTATTTCATAGTAGAATGAAAGAGACAAGGAGCAAAACAAAACAAAACAAAACAAAACAAACAAAAAGCCCCATTAGTGGCAACACAGTAAATAAATAGGCTTAAATATGAATGAGAACTGTCCATCCATAACATAAATGGTAACTAGCCTTCAGTTTGACCCTCAATAAGTCTCACCCTTGGGCTGTCATGAAACTGTGTAGATCCCTATTGCCCACACTAGATAACGGTGAGCCGAGTAGCCACTGGGATATTGCAGAAATGATGGAGTGTGACTTCCAAGATGAAGTCATAAATGACATAGTGGCTTATGCTTGGTCTCTTCTGTCACTCACTCTGGGGAAAGCCAGTCCCAGTGTTGGACACTCATGCAGCCTTATGAAGAGATTCACACAGCTCTATGCTCAGTATAGAGTCTGCTTAAGACTCTTTCGTCCTCTCTCTCTGCCTCGGTCCCCCCCATCAAATAAATAAAAAAATCTTAAAAAAAAAGAGTATACAAACAGCCTAATACATGATTGTGAGTTTCTGCTTCCTTGTTGTCACTGGTGCAAACCTCTGCATCAGCAGCAGGTGAGACATAACTATAGTTGTGGGGGCGGGTCTCCAAATGGGAAAAATATCACTTTTGGGAAACAGAAAGGTCACAATGAGAGTTAAACTTGCTTCTCTAAAGTTATTCTTACCTAATTTCTTCTTGGTGCGATCTACCTTCACTACTAATGTGGAACTTAAAAATTGTGTCAGTATTTTGTAAGAAAAGGGATTGCCCAGGCCTAGAATTCAGGAAGACCAATCCTTGTCCCTGCCTGCATTAACCTGAAGAACTCCAGGACCCTAGGTACACGAAATAGGGACTCTAAGATCATCTTTTCTGCTCCCACATGCGCTCCTGACCTCTATAGACATAATCATGAGAATGATGATGGCCTAGGAAAAAGATGCCTTTTTGATTATTGCTGCTGCCACCCACCCCTGGGGTGCATGTGTTTGGAATCTTTGTAAGAGTGGAAATGGAGTCACCACTCCACGAAGACAAACGTGGTGTGAGAGGTGGACAGGAATTTAGTCAACAGGAAAAAGGGTGTTTCCTATTGAAGCCTGAGTGGGGCAATAGAAAAACCACAAGATTCAGTCAGACAGACTAGTCATGAAAAAAGCAGGGACAAGTGCAGAGGGCTGTTTCTGAGGCTCAAATTGCTAGGCATATGGCCTTGAGGAAGTTACTCCACTTTTCTGAACCCTCTTTTCTCCTGCAAAATGGAAATAGACAGTGAACGAATGCTTCAGCAGTAAACTTCCTGCCTTCTACTCTGCCTTTCCTGCTTTATATGGGATCCTAGATAAGTCACTTGGATCTTAAATGTGCTCCTCTATAAAATGGGCATAATACTTTTCTCTCTCCTACCTCAAAAAATCAACGTGAAGATTAAATGAGAAAATGGGTGTGAAATGACTTGGTGAGTTCTAAAAATCAAGATGTGCATCTAAAGTCATGTTATTAGAGAATGCAGAGCATTTCTGACCTGAGGAAATCACTGGAAATTAATACTCTATCACTTTATGATCTACATCAGGGAAAATAAAAGGGTATAGAAGGCACTTGTAGAAGCTGTAGAGTGTTAGAAGATTATCAGAACAGGTGGATCAGCACCTTCACTCGGGTTGCATGCAGCATGCAACACCAAAAGGAGACAAATCCAGAAAGAAAGCGGATTACTGCGAGGGTCTAGGCATGTGCAGGGGAAGCCAGACCAGTAATTGTTGGTTACTGGTCCATAAGGAGGTAGGGAGAAGTTTTAAAAATGTTATAGAAATTTTGCTTAGCTGTAACATCCAAATATGTGATCAGTGGGCCTTTAAAATTTTTTTTTTCCATTTGTCTGTTAATTTACTTTCCTTGTATTTTGCAAAAGTATTGGTCACTAATGCTTTTGGGGAAAAAATGGACTCCGGCTAAGATTGTGGTTTTGTTTGAAAAGTGTGGTTTAGAGGGTGGCTCAGATGAGTTGCCTATAGTGAACGGTTTCAGGCAGCAAAACTCAGAAGTTTTTGACTCACTCATCTTTGACTTGCATTCTGGCTCTTTTTCTTACTAGTCATCTGATGGGTATTTAAGAGCTCTCTTTCTTTCTTTTTTTTTTTTTTAAGATTTATTTATTTATTTGAGAGAAAGATCACGAGAGGGAGAGGCAGAGAGAGGAGAGAGAATCCAAAGCAGACTCCATGCACTATGTGGGGCCCAATTCCATGACCCATGACATCATAACCTGAGTTGAAACCAAGAGTTGGATATTCAGCTGACTGAACCACCCAAGCCCCACTGATGGATATTTAAATTCTCTGTTTTTTTTTTTTCCTGAATAGGGACAAACATCAAATTTAAAGGGTTGTAGTAAGGATAGCAAAATAAATGACAATAATGGCAGCTGCTGTTATTAATGGTTAAGGTTAGAATTCCTAGATGAAGGGATCTCTGCTATAGAGACAAGTACCCTCCCTGACACAGGGCTTAAGGGTCTGGAGACAAGGACTATTGTTTACCGCAGGGTTGTACTCTGTCACCAGGTGGAGACTGTTGATCTCAATGAAACGGCTTAATTTGGTGGCATCAATGCTTTCAATGTATTTGCTCTCTAAATCCAGTTTTTTGTTGTCCACCTGGGTAACACAAAAAGGATAAAATTGTCACTATTCTGTTTTTATTCATTCATTGATAAATGTTTCTGGACTATCTACCACATATCAGGCATTGACTAAAGCTCAAAAGACATAAAGGTAAGTAGGAAATATTCTCTGCTTTCGAGGAACACACTGTCTGGTGAGATACAAAGAAGTTAACAGAAATGTCATCACCGGCCCATATACCACCTAAAGGAAGAGCAGGAAAGCTTCCAGGAAGAAGCAACTCTTGAAAAGTAGCTAGAACTTGGTCAAGTGAATGAGGATGGGGAGGAAATTATTAAAAAAAACAAACAAACAGTATTTGCAAAAGGCAAAAAGATGAGAGATGTCATGCTCTGGTAGCTGCATTTAGTTTGCCATGACTATAACAGTAGATGTTAAGTGTGAGTAGGAGAGAGACAGGTTAGTGGGGTAGGCTGGGGCAAACTTCCAAAGGACCTTGAAGCTGAAGTGAATAGATTAAACTCTAACCTGAAGGCAAGAGGATCATTTACATAATCAGATTTATGTGTATATATATGTACCCTTTAATGTGAAATAATACATATAGAGAAAAGCATGAAATGGAGAATATAAAATTCAGTTTTTTCACTTTATAATGGATGCTTAGATTCTTGATTTTTATTGTTATCCTTTTCTAAAATATATGTTAAAATCTATGCATTTCCCCCTTTCAGGGCTATAAATGCATCCATAAATTTTATATGTAGATTTCATTATCATTCAGTCCAAAATGTTTTCCAATTTCTGTTCTTATTTCTTCTCTAACCTATTGGCTATTTAGAAGTGTGCTTTTTTAAATTCTAGCTTAATTTCTACATTTTATTATTGTTATTCTAGCTTAATTTCTACATTTTATTATATCATTTGTCAACTTCTATATATGCTATATATGTCCTTTAAATCATGTATATTCTGCAGTTTTCAAATACAGTATTCTGAATATACTAACAGCTCACTTGGTTAATTTCGTAGTTCAGATTTTCTATATTTTTACTGATTTGTTTAACCAATTTATTCTACCAAGAGAGTAGTATTAAAATCTCCCACCATGATTGTGAATTTAATCATTTTTTCTTACAATTCTGTCAGTTTCTGCTTATATATTCTCAGGCCATGTATTAGATGAATGCGAATTTAGAATTGTTACATATCTGGCCAAGTTGAAACATGTATCATTATGAAACATCATTCCT